AAAACATGTTTCTGCATATCAGCCATAAGTCCTTGGTCATTTTCCACTCTCCACACGCAGTCAATAAAGGTATACCTTATACAAGCCATTTCAGTTCGTGTGTGGAAATATAACCTATTCAATCACAGATAACAAAAGATCCACACAGGTGTCAACTATCCTATTACATTAAAAAGTCAACTACGTATAACATTTCCATTAAGAAATCATGCTGATATCTGCATCTTACTCAGAACTGAAAACTTCCTATAAAAATCAAATTAACACTTCACGGACCGGCGATTTAAATATTTAAATCACCCAGGGGACCAGCATTTTTAAACCTACTACCATAACTTGTGCACTGTTCTCTTTAAAAATTAATATAAAATTTCCTAATTAATTTTATGAACTAAAATTTTTGGAGAACACTTTCCAGTGCTCCTAGAAGTGCTTGAGAGTGTGATATTTCTGGAAACATTCCCCTTTCTGAAGTGGCATTACAGAGAACTTGCAAATGTAGACATACTCCTTTTTTGTGAACTGTGGAAACACGGCATTGCCTAGAAAGATGCTTCCCCTTGGAATGTTCACTCTTCACAATTTTCACGAGGGTATGTTTCGCATATCACCTGAGAGTCGCCCTGTGGGATCCACATGAGGCTTGCGTGGGGTGGGATTGGATGGGCACAGTCACACTAAGTCTGTGTCTGACTCTGGTTCTGCTGCCACCATCTGGTCTGTAGCCCAGGGCTTTGCCACATTCATCAGAAATGCTTTGTATTTCAATTTCGAATCAGGGTTTAAATTTTTGGGACTTTTAAAATTTTTTATTGTCCCCGCAATGTTATTACCCCCATTATCATTGGAGCTATGGTCACTTTTACTGTATGTGGCCACAATTCTTTGCTCACCCCTGTCATTGCTGCTCTCTCAAACACCATAACTACGCATCTCACAAGGCAGGTCAGCTGGCTCATTGGAAAAGAATTTGTCCTTGTCCATATCCCAACACTAACTACTGGCTGATACATACAGCCTGAAGAGCAACAAAGCATTATCGCTTATAGTGGCTTAAGAAAACAGCGAGATCAACTTACTGATAAGTAAGCGAATATTCCAGTTTTATTACGCCATTGCGTGCAACTCGGGTGGCGCCAGAGAGATGTATAGTGTGCTGCAACTTATCGTCTTTAAAAACCTGTTAACAGGCAAACGGTCTGCCATGTTTAAAAGTGAAACATTTTTTAAAGGGTGCGCGGTCCGCAAAGTGTTAAGAACAAACTGTCCATATGTGTTCCATTATTTGCATTATGAATTAATTCACATAAAATGTGTTATGAGGAAAGGAGCATTACCTTGTAAGGGTACAGCAACTCATACAATTCCTTGTACTTGTTCTCACTAAATAAATCATCAGCCTCTGTAATTAAATTCTCAGTGGCCTCCTTGACACTGAGAATTTTCTCTGTATCACCAAGATCTTTGACTGAAGTCACTTGAAGAGATGCAATGAAAGACAACCAGGTTACAGGCATGATAAATGGCCTGTAATTACGATCCATGCCATTCACCTGTAAGCAATTAAAACAATCACAAAATAACATACCAAGAAACAAATTCTATCTTTACAAGTGTATCATCTCTGTTCAGCAGACTCCTGAAATATTAACCTTTCTGAAAAGACTTCCTCAATTGAGGAAAAAGCAAGTTTCAAATGGAACATATTTCTATTCTAAATAGAGAAATATTCTTCCCTCAATGTATATGATCAGATACCTTTTAGTGTAACATAATACATAAATTATTAATAATTTGAGATGATATAAATAACAACTGTTCTTAGAATTTTTCATAGATGTGTTGTAACTCAAAGAACTTGCATTTGAGAGAAACCTGAATTCAACAGTGCTGTTGCATATTCTATTCAGTCACCCTAAACAGGTGGCTGCCAAAATACTTAAGAGCCTCACAGATGCCTCTTACCCAATCGCTAAAGGAAAGGATGACATTTCTCTCCAAGGAGAATATATTACTTCCTTACAAAATGTTACTATTCTACCCAGGTCCTAAAAAAAAAAGGCTGATTTTTCACTTGCAACCTGCAGGAGTTCTGTAAAGGACAGTCCCTTCCAAGTTTCTAGAATCAAAGTTCCCTCCTGTGAGGAAGACAAACAGAGGCTCTAAAAAGAGCTCTTCCCACAATTCCATCTTTCGTTATTGACACCCTGGAAAGGTCCTTCCCTTCTCACTATTTTCAACACGTGGCAAAAAAAAAAAAAATAAAGTGTCCCTTAAATTAGCCATTTTACCTACCCACAATGCCCACTGGCCTGGATCAGGTCCTATTTCCTTACTTCCTCCCTTGGGTCTCAGTTCATCCTTCATTGATTTCAAATTCAAGCAGATCAAGATACAGGTTGAGAAGTATATTCACAAACCACTGGATATAGAATGAGTCACATATCATAGCAAATGTTTCAATTAATCATTGGAACAAGTCTAGGCAACATAATGTAATAAATGTATACATTATATAGACATAGAACATAAATATGATTATAAAAATAGAATGCAAATGAAGAACAAATTAAACATTTGTACAATAAAATTCCTCCACTTTATAAAAACAGAGCAACACCAGATATCTTCTTAAGGAACTCTTACAAATTTTAGGCATCTGTACAAGCTCTTTTAATTCAACCCGCCTATAAAACCAGGCCAATCCTCAAATTACGCCCTCCAACCTTGAAGATGGGGGCAGCATGCTCCTTCGAGACCTCGGTATAGGCCTATAAGACTACACGGCATCACAGTCTGAACAACCATTTCGTAGGAACCTCGTATTAAATACTGATCTCTCCTGCCCCTTCTTCTCCAGATTGAAATCTATGAACATCACTTTCACAGCGTTCCCACAAATTCAAAACCTGAAATATACCAACAATAACTGAAGTGCTAATAGATTATTCACTTAAATTTTCAACACAGAACCTAACCTCCTTCACATAAACTACAGACTTCAAATAGTAGAACCTAATTTCCTTCATATACTACTGACTTCAAATAGTACTAACAGAATATTTTAATCTACCGTGTCTGCGAAATATGTTAGAAACATTATAAGCCTTGCTGAACCCACGACGAATACCGACTAGATATTTTAACATTACTTCCTACGGTAATAACATAAAATTTACAATACAATATTATCAAACAACCTCTAATATCACTGATTACTAAATGTTACGAATGGGCAAGAGCGGTAAGAGGATCACCAGTGCCTACGAGCGCTACGAGCGCTACGAGTGCTGAAGTCGGACTTTACTCACATCACTCACATAACACGGATGATCCGTAAGGAAGGTAGGGAATAATGAAATGAAGGGTAAAGTCGGTAAAGCAGTGCACTTGCTCGAAACACACGCAGAGGAGCAGAGGACAGCAGTTCAGTTCACACTGTAGAGCAGTTCGATTGGTTAAAGCGCTTGACGGATCGGAAAGGAAAGGGAAATTGGTGTGCGTTAATGAGGATGTTTGAATGAAAAGTTTACAACCGAATAAAATAAAGTGGAACTTGATTAATTGTGCAGAGTAATGTATTCTTATACTTTTTATGTAAATTTCCCATAACTCTCGATATTGTTATACATTTTTATGTAAATTTCTTATAGTTTTCGAGATTTTTATACATTTTTGTAAATTTCCCATCAATTTCGATATTTTTATGTAAATTTCGTATAATTTTCGAAATATTTATATATTTTTATGCAAGTTTCTTATAATTTTCGATTTTGTTATATATTTCTATGAATATTTCGTATAATTGTCGAATTTTTATATATATTTTATGTATATTTCCTATAAATTAATATACTTTTTACATTTTCATGTATATTTCGTATAATTTTCGAGATTTTTATATATTCTTCTGTAAAATTCGTATAATTTCCGTATTTCTATACATTTTTATGTAAATTTCGTGACAAAGTACTAGCGTCCAGAAAACTTCCTTTCAGGCAACGTTGCTAGGCGCCTGTGCAGATTGTGCTGTCGGTATACAGGAAGCAACAAAAGCACAGCAGAACGGATTGTCAGAGAATTGGTACTAGAGAGTTTTAATAACATTTGTCGACATATTTCAATTGCTGTTAAATCGGGCAAAAGTAACGGACACATAGAGACAGGACGACCTTGTGTTTTGATTATCTATTGTACGTCGCACACTAAAAAGTCTGGTCTCTGCGAGTGTTTCGAACATACAGAAATGAAGCGCCCTTTTTTGTTCAGTTCACTTTTCTTTTCGCAGATGTTGCGGTTTTTCGAGATTGCTATTTGGAAGGGACATCATACATACATTCCCCAAGCAAACACCGTAATCTCCCAACCAAAGTCCCGTTCTCCATTACGTGAATGAAGTTTCCTTCCACGTGAATTTATATGTCTACGTGTGTATACGAGTAAATATATAAATATTTAATGAAAATACGAGGATAAGTCAATAAGTAAGTTACAAATGGATGTAGAACGTAAACAAATAAGAGTACTGATTTGAAAAAATGCTTTTATTTCTCAGCATAATCTTCCTGTATATTGAGGCACTTGTTCCATTGATTCACAAGCCCCTGAAAACCAGCAGCATAAAATTATTTGGGCTGCTGTCGGAACCAAGCGGTGACTTCCCTTTCTACAGCTTCATCGTCGGGAAAATGTTCAGCCGAAAGATGATGTTTAAGAGGGCCGAACAAATGGAAGTCGCTTGAAGCAGGACTCATCACCTGTGACATTTCGGGCTAGCATATCGTGTCCTTCATCGTGGTAGCGATTGAGATGCTATAATGCCAGGTCCATTCTTTACATTTTGTGTTGCGGGGTCAGCATGCGCAGCACCCATTGTGCACAGACTTTGTGAAAACCTAACCTGTCATGCGACTTCCATTTTTTCGGCCCTCTTAAACACCATCTTTCGGCTGAACATAAAGCATTTTTCAAATCAGTACTCTTATTTGTTGAAGTTATATATCCATTTTTAACTTACTTATTGACTTACCTACGTATAATTGATTGTACTTCCGAAGTTTTCTAAAACTATTACAATATACCGGTCTACATGAAAGTAAGTTTTTCTTCATCAGATCAGAACCAACAAAAAAAAAAGATTTATTTTGAACTGCATCAGCCTTGATTTGATCTTGTAATATATTTCAATTCGATTTTGAAGCATACATTTCATTCTATTTTAGTGTAAGTAATAGCAGTGAACAGTGAAGGCTTTACTATTCCTTTTTTTCTTTTTTTCCCTTGGTACTACAGCCCCAGTGGGTCTAGGCATACCTCCATGAACTCCGTTCACTTCGGTTTTTCTAGATCTTACACATATAGTAGGACTCCTTGGGCGAGAGATCAGCTCGTCGCAAGACCTCTATCTGTAGACAAACACAGAAAAACGCACACAAACATCCATGCCCTGAGTGGGATTCGAACCCACGATCCCGGCTTCCGAGCGAGCGAAGACAGTGCATGCCTTAGACCGCTCGGCTGCCGTGCCGGCTTACTATTCCTTACTCATTCTGTATATAGTTCTGACTTCTCGCCAATTCCAATATCACCTGCCAGTGATTAATCGCATGTGAATTCAATGCTTGCTTATTATGCGGGAAGAGTTCGTCATAGTCTCGAGTTTGTCTAAGGTAAGGCACTTCTGAGATTACAGAATATCACTTTCCTTTCTCGCATCAGCTACAATCTATATCGTAAGTAATGGAAGTCGGCTTGTCATTTAGAGTTCCTTGTGCCCAAGTGTACCCTGAGTGTGGGTTATATTTATATTTCGGTTTCTTTTGATTTGGGTTTAAATCGGATCGCAAAATGTGATTGAATAACAGCAAAAATGGATGACTGAATTAAGTAATTATTGAAGCAGTCCACCACGAAGACGAATGGAGCCCTGCTTTCCCCTGCTTGCTCTCAGCAGCCGTGCCGCCTATAGAGCCTGTAGCGTTAACGTGCGGTTAGCCGCTCGGCTGCAATCGCCCCCTCACTCGCAAAGCTCGCTACGCTCGCAACATTAGTGTACTGGTCTGCTACAGACGTTCCGGGCTCGCAGAACTGCGGGATTTTTCAAGTGAAAAGAAATTAATTTGAGGAAGGTACGGAAACAAATACAATATTGCAAACAGACCATGCAACTTATTTCGTGTGCTAAACAAATGCGTACCATCAGCTTATCACAAAGAATTCTGCTTTGTGGAGTCAGTTACGTAAATATGTGCACAATAGTTCAGTCAAAATTTGTTTACGTAACACAATAAACTCATTCAAATATCTCTGCAAATATAAAGAAAAAACTTAAAAATACACTTATAAGGTATTACAGTATATACCTAAATGACAAATTTATTGTACATCTTCCATCTAGTATTATTTCTACTTGCGATAGTCGACCTCCAATTTACATCATTTTTAATTCGAATGAAAGTTAGGTCTACCTAGGGCAGGGTGGCTGTGTCTTTGGTGTGGACGTATCATAGACCAGGGATGCGTTGAGACACAGCTTTGGAACACCTCCTCGTGGTCCTGCTGGGCAACGACAGTCTTGGGGGTCTGCATTAGCATGAGCCTCTGAGGCTGGCGGCCGAGTTTCCGTAAGGGCAATGGCTATTTGACCAGAGCCTCCCAAGAGGCGGCATAATGACTCTTGGGTTTCATTACGATGTACCTGGCAAGAATGCGGGAGAGCACTCCTATGGGGGTAGCTATGGCTATTTGAGTTGTCTCCCAAGAGTACCGATAAGGTGCCGCAAGCCTTAGGGCTCAACACTCTAAAATGGTTTGACCAACCCATGTGGAGGGGTGGGAATGGGGGAGCTCTGAAGCAACCTCCAGGGGCGGTAAGTTTGTGTAGGGTGCCCTGGTAGCAACCTCATGACAACTAGTATCGCACTCCCATTTATCATCCGGGAGACCCCTCTCACCCCGAACATGCACTCTTGGTCCTGGAGGCTTGTGAGGGTTATACCGTATTTACGCATGTATAGGCCGCGTGCGTGTACAGGCCGCAGCACAATTTTCAGACAGAAATTATAGAAAAAATAATTTTCTTGGAATATTATTTCAGGAGTAGAAATTATTCAGAAATTTGGCAACGTTTAACATTCCTAAGTTCGCAACTAGCGAACATAACGGTACC